TGACAAGCCTAATTCCTGGGAATGAGAAGGTTTCTGGAGAAGCCAAATTCCCAGGAATTGGAATGTTTATGGACACAAGGTGTGTGCTCAGGAGCTCTCTGAGGTGATGAGTGATTTTGGAACCTCTTGTTTTTACAGCTGGCTGTGTGGAATCAGGAGAGAACGTTACCAACACCACCTACGTTTTCTCCAGAAACAATCTTAAAAGGTAAGGCTTTAATGAGATAAAAATCTGATTTTATTTAAAAACATACAATTCAAATAGTGCAAATCTGTTTTCTGAGCTGCTTTTCTCTCTGAAGGCCCGTGGGTCACCTGCCCTGTCCTGGCAAGGGAACTCTGGCAGTTCGCTGCTGTCCTGTGTACTTTGAGCTCAGAGGAGCCTCTGCTAAAGGTATGGCAAGATTCAGGGAGTGGGAACCCGCAGCAAATCTGGGAAAAGATGTGGCTGGGCACTGGTTTATGTCTCAGCCTTTCAGCATTCCTCTAGGACAGTGCTGTACCACATCTGAGAAGCTGTTTCCTGATTTTGAGGCCCTGAGTTCACCTCAAGTCCCTCATGAGTGGCTTTTGATAGAGTGGATAAATGTTGTTCCTTGGCCTCTCAGGCTGCAGAAACACTGTGAAATATTTTCCTTCAACTGTTAACCATTTTGTGTTCAAAATAAATAACCTGGTTTAGCACCAGAGGAGCAATGCAGTGAAATAATTCCTGTTAGTCTCAACTGCCCACATCACAGGGAGTTGGAATAGTTTGCTACAACCACTGGTGTTTATTCAAGGAAGCAGTGCTGGTGTTACTGGACAGAACAGGAATTCTGACCTGGGGACAGGATTGTGTGAAGTTGCACAAGAATTTATTTTTTATTTCTTGAATCCAGCTTTATTGTGGGTCCAGGAGTGTTTATATTTTAACAAGACTGACATTACTCAGGTGGAAAGGCAGAGCTTGGCTCCTTTCTTTAAAGGTTAAATTTGTAGTGTTCCTTACAGGATTTACCTGTTCTATTTCCATCATAATTTTAAATCTGTGGTGTTGCAAAGGAAGGAGATGAGGATCTGCAGTTGGTCTCTGTAGCTCCTCTAAAGGGAGGCTTGAATATTAAAAGTTCATATAAATATGCTGAAAAATTCCAGCTGGAAAACACAGGGAAAAATTTATAAAACAAAAGAGTAGCAATCCAGAGGGAGAAAGCTGCCAATTTTTTTTTTACAACTAAGAAAATAAAGAGTAAATATCAGACAACAGAAATGTTAAATTTTACATTTTATGCAAGAGCTCTTTGCTCATTGTTTATACTGGTAGATGATATAATTTTATTTAAATTAATGGCTAATGCAGTCACCACCTTGCAATAAATACAAGAGAATTCTCACTGTTCATTTTTTTGCAGATGAAATCAGTCCCAAATCCCCCCCTGCCCTGTTTAACCTCCCCTATCGATTGGTGTTTGCTGTTGCTTCTGAAGATTCTGTGCTTTTCTATGACACTGAGCAGTCCTTCCCCTTTGGTTATGTCTCCAACATCCATTACCACACCCTGAGTGACATTTCATGGTAAGGAATTGTGTTCCTAAGGTTTATTGTGATGAAGGAAATGTCCTTTTTCCATGTCCACTTCTGCACAGCACTTTGAGTCTTGCCTTGAGTTTATATTTCATTTATGACACACACTCGGTGTCTGAGCAGCCACCCATCCCTTTTTTTGCTCTGTAAATTAGAGAATTATGGCTCTTATCAATTGGTGAGGGTTGAAATAAAACCTTGGCCTTTAATGGAAATAAATAAATCCCAAACAGGTCCAGTGATGGATCCTTCCTGGCCATTTCCTCCACGGATGGGTACTGCTCCTTTGTCACCTTCGAGGAGGATGAGCTGGGAGTGCCCCTGAAGGAAAAGCCCCAGATCCACGTCAGGACTCCTGGTGCAGCAGCAGACAAGAAAGCCAAGAAGAGCCAGTCCCACAAAGTGATTTCTCCAGGTTCCAGGCTGGCAGAGGGGACCCCTCCCAGCAAGGATCCCCCACTCCAACCCCGAACCCCCAGCAGTGCTGGGAAGGAGCTGCCTTCCACCCCTGTTGGCATCAAAACACCTCCAGTGCCATCCCCTTCCACCCCTGCTGGCATCAAAACACCTCCAGTGCCATCCCCTTCCACCCCTGCTGGCATCAAAACACCTCCAGTGCCATCCCCTTCCACCCCTGCTGGCATCAAAGCCACCCCAGTGCCATTGTCAGAGGAGAGGAGGAGCAGCCAGGCAGCCACCCAGAGCAGCAGAGCCCCCCAGCCCAGGAGGGTCACCCTCACCACTCTGCAATCCTGTTTCAAAACACCCAGGTGAGATTTAAGATTTATGATGTCCCTTTCCAGTCATAAATACAGGGGCCAGGACAAGCTGTGCTCGTGCTGCAGTTAAAGGCTGAGCTTTGCACACAAATTCCCAGCCCTGGCTCTGAGTTGAGCCTCTCTTGATGTGGAGTTTTTTGTTGTGCTGAATATGAGAGGTCAAAACGTTTCCTAAGTGTGGAGATTTTAGGTTTCTGCCTGAAATGTGAAGCAGCAAATTCACCTGACCCTTCACAGTTAAGGTTTCTGTCTTGGCCAGGAGTTGGACTTTGATCCTTCCAACTCAGAATATTCTGTGGTTCTGTGTTCAGGTGCAGTTTTCTGGACAAAAATGGTACCTGAAGCCTTCAGCTGCCAAGAACTGTTTAAACACCCTCCTGCCAAAGAAGAGTTCATGTCTAGACAGGCCCTCAGTGTGGGACTTAAAACATTGATTAGGTGACTTCCTAAAAGATGTAATTTTTTAGAAATTGCCAATAATCCAGGTATTGATTATACTGGGGCTCTGAGCACCCTGCTCCAGTTGGAAGGTGGCCCTGCCCACGGCAGGGGGTTGGAAGTGGATAATGCTCCATTCAGCTTGTAAAAAGAAGGGAAAATGTGCAGTAAAATACATCTGAACTACCTCTGCACTTAACTTATTCTATATGAATTAAATCTTGACATGAAATAGTCGTGGAAATGATGTCTATAAAGCAATTAATAAGCAAAATAACTGTTTCTGCTCTTTTAAAGGAGAATAAATTTGATTTCCTTGAAGCCAGACACCCCAGCCTCTGCATTTCCAGACCCAGCTCCCGTCCCTCCTTCCTCAGAACAGGAACATGGTGAGTTTTTGTGCCTCTTAATACCAGCCAAGTCTCTTCCCAGTCAGATTTTTCCTTTATAGATTTGTGTTGTAAGAAAAATCTTCACTCTAGTTGCAAATGCTAAAGCTTCTTCATTGTTTTGATGTGTGTGAAAGGTGCTTTGGGCAATATGAAATGTGTTCTCCCTGCTCTGGGGCAGCTGATGGTGACTGTCCCTACAGTTTTATAGCAGTGAAACCAAAGATAAATTCATGGGTGTGATGTTCTTTTAAAGGCTTTTGTACTTCCAGCTTAGTGTTGTTGCAGGTGCTGGACTTTCTCAGACCAAGGTTAGGATTTTTTTTTAATCTGAATTTATTAATTTGAAATCATTTTTCTGTCTGCTTCTTCCAGAGAGGCCACTGCCATCTGATGAGAGCCTCCAAGCTCCCCCAGCACCCAAACGTGCCAGGATTGAGGAATTGTCCCTTCCTGCAGCTGCTGGAGACCAAACCAGCTGTGAGTCCAACAAATAAAGGCTGAGCAGACTCCTCACAGCCTGAAGTGAAAGCAGCCATGTCTGAGTGCATTTCTTGTTGCAAAAATTCCATCCTCAATTCCCAGTTCAAGTTCCCTGTGCATGTTTAATGTAAAGCTGTGAAGAAACTGCCAGTAGAAGACCCAGGTTTCAGGAACTTGGTTCTGCAGCAGGAGAAATAGTTGGGAAGTGACTTCAAGGAAATCAGGGAAATCTGAGGATTAAAAATCCATCCAGTAAGATGTGAGTCTCCAGCAGAGTCCTTAAATCCGTGTTTATGTCTTCCAGTAACTGTCTGGCAAAAAGAATCGAATGCATTCATAAGATTTGATGTGGTTCAAGACCTAAAAAAAAGAGGAAATTGTGTCATTCCAGCATTTTGGTTTATTTCTTGGGTAGAATAATGCTCCCCAGTAGCTGTGGGGTGGAGCTGATTCATTCAGAAGGCAGCAGCAAAGCTCAGGACTGGCATGTGGAAACAGAAATGGGAAAATTGAACTGCAGGAAACAAGAAAGCAAAAAGAAGAAATTCTCTGAAGAGCTGCTGTAAAAATGAAACAGCAGAAAGTTCTTATTGTTCAATTTCTGGACTTAAAAAAGAAATGCAGGTGTGAGATTTTCCTGAAGCATCAGGATTTGAGTGTGTACATTGAAATTTCCCCTTTCCTCCCTTAGCCAATAAAACACAATCCAGTGGATGGGAAACTTCCACACTTAAAATTTCTTTTTAGCATTTAATACTTCATAAAAGCAGAAATACAAATGTTCCAGAAGTGACTCACAAAAGTCTCACAGGAAGGAAATATTAACAGACACCTCTGTCACTCCTTCAGACAAATGAACTTTTGCCTCCAATTAAATTTCAACAATTAATCAAGCAAAAAGTTGTAGGAAACTTGATGGGATCTTTGTTTTCTCACTGTGATGAGGATGGATCTTCATTAGACTTAATTAAACTTGGATTCTAAAGAGTTAAGAGTTAATTTTGACATTTATTTCACTGGCTTTTAAAAGATGATTTCTGCTTTTTTTTTTTTTTTTTTTTTTTACATCTTGTTCCACAGGAATTTAGAGGTAACTGCACCAGGGGTTTCAAATAGAATTTGCAATTTTTTTTACATGGGTTTCAAGTGGATTTTTCACTTTTTCAGATGGGTTTCAAATAGAAGTTGCAATTTTTTTACATGGATTTCAAATAGAAGTTGCAATTTATCACATGGGTTTCAAATAGAATTTGCAATTTTTCAGGTGGGTTTCAAGCAGAGTTTGTAACTTCTTCATTCATGATTGTCTTGTTCCAGAAAAGACTTTTTGCTATGTAGTAATGGTTAATTTTTAGACAGCCAGACCTTGTGCTCCTGTGCTGTTAAAGTTTTAATTTTTAGCTACCCAGCTGTCAATATTAATTTATCTTGTCATTCATTAACCACCACCTTCTGGTCAAAATCTACTTGATCCTTGCCCATGGATTCCAGACAGAATCTCTGTATTTTGTCTGCACATTCCCTGTGTTTATATGAACTTTGTTATTAAATAAATAACATAAAGACCATCAAATTAATCAAGAAAAAAACAGACTTTTTGGGGAACTCTGGCCACATGGAAGGTGGGAAATTGTTGGAAAAGAAGAGGGATTTCCATGGAAATGGAGGTGGCTGGGAGAGGAAAAGGGACAGGAATTAATTAATTGCAGCTGGGATGTGGAGAGAAGCTGGAGAAGGAGACAAAAATGATGTTTGAGGAACAGAAATGGATGGGAGGGAGTTTGGGAATTCCTGTGCAGGACCCTCAGCTCAATGAGGATCCTTCTCACCCAAGAACACCTCATTTTCCAGGCTGGGTTTTATTTGAGAGGTTTTTTTTGTGGTTTTTTTTTTCCCTCTGGAATGAGAGGCTCTTTTTTTTTTGGCCACAAAACTCCGATTTCTTACTCTCCTGCCAGCAGGTGACAGCATTCCCTAAAGCAAAGCAAACTGAGCAGAAACTCCTCTCTACTCCAGATTTCCATCTTTCCAGACGTTTTTTCATCCTCTTTACTTTTACAAACTGATCATTTCAGACTTGTTTCCACGTGGTGAAGAATAAATAGAGTTTTACAGGGAAGAATTCTTCCAGGAGGAAAAGACAGCAGGATGACTTCAATCAAGAGGTGAACAGAGAATTCCTGCTCAGTGAATCCAGAGGCTTTTCCAGGAGGAATTGGCTCTGCAGTGTGCGACACATATTGAAAAAGTAAGAAAATTACAGCCTGAAAAAAATCCAAGCCGGAAAATTTCAACCCCGGTCCCAACCCAAGAACCGGCCCAACCCAAAGCCAAGGAAAAATTCCTCCAAGGGGAAAAACTGGGCAAAAAAAAAAAGAAATAAAAAAAAAGATAGAACACCTGTTGTGGTGTGTGCCCAGGCCCTGGCAATGGGGTATCTTCTCTCTGAACCAATCACCTTTTCTCTACTCTTGGAATTGAGAGTGATGCTATAAAACCAAGTGTGTTTCTGAATAAACTTCTCTCTTTCTTCCTGTCATCAAAGACAATCGTGTAGCTGTGCATCTTATTTCGAGGGTTAAACCCCCTTTCCACGGCTGCACTGCAGTGTCCAAGCACGGGGTTGGCCATGGGCTGAGGTGACACAAATTCCCAGGACTGCACATCCAGCAGAGCCTCTGGCTGTGGGAACAACCCACAGGGGTCCTGGCAGCCTTTATGGTTTGGATTTGGGTTTTTGGAGAAAAATCCACCAAGGGAAGAGCATTCAGTGCCTGGAGGAGGTGACAGGAAAGGAGGAGTGACAGGATAAGAGGGAGTGGCTTTGAAATGACAAAGAGTGAGGTTAGGTTGGATAAAGGGATAAAATTCCTCCCTGGCAGGGTGGGCAGGGCTGGCACAGGGTGCCCAGAGCAGCTGTGGCTGCCCCTGGATCCCTGGAATGTCCAAGGCCAGGTTGGACATTGGGGCTGGGAGCAACCTGGCACAGTGGGAGGTGTCCCTGCCATGGTTTGTGTTGGAATTGGATGATTTTTAAGGTCCCTCCTGTCCCAAATCCCTCTGTCCTTCCCAAGGATTTTTCCCTGCTCGTTCCAGACGTTCCTGCTTGGGAGATCTCTCAGCCCTCACTCAGCAGGGCTTTTACCAATAATCTCCAAAGTCAAATCCCAACATTTGGTCCCAATTATCCCTTTCCCTGAGCAGCCCCAACCCCACACAGCAGCTCTGTTCTTCCTCAGGTGTGGGATTTTGGGATGCTGCCATTCCCCTTCCAAGGGGATCTCTCAGAGCTGCAGAGAGACAGAACTGGGGGTGTCCAGGCTGCTCCTCCTTCCCCATCCCTGCAGGAGAAATTTTTCCATGCTCATCATCTTGGAGTCTCCAACATCAGCAGAAAAGCTGGAATGGGCAAACTGGGAGCACTTTTCCCTCCTGTGGCTGCCAAACTTCCAGCCCAGGGATATTGATATTGTTGAGGATCCTGCTGCTTATTCCTTCAGCTGAAAAATCCCAGGAAAAGCCACAGCCCTGAGGCCTCTGTGCCTGCAACCCGAGAGGATTTGCCTCTCAGAGCATGAATAATTAAAAAGGTTCACAGATTTCTTTCTGTCTGGAAACTGGGCATAAATTTGGGCTCTTCCAATGCCTGGGAAAACCTGATCCTGGTGCCCCTGAAAGGAGAGGAATCTGTGTCTTTTTAAGTTGTTGCCATCTTTTCTGGGAGGGTTGAACTTCCCCAAATCTTCTTGTTCGTGCTGCAATTATTTGTGTTTTCCACTTCAAATGTTTTCCTTGCAGGAAAGCTTCATTTTGAAGGGAATTATTTCTCTCTGCGTTTTTCTTCCTCAAGATTTAAGCAGAAACTTCTTTACAAACTTCTCCCCTTCAGCTACTAAAAGTAAATAAATAAGCTGGGCAGGAATTTTTGGGTTGATTTCTGCCAAGCTGAAATAAGGAATTTTGAAGTGTTATTTGCTGGGGGAAATGGAAACAGGCCAGGTTGGAATGGGAATGGCTGTGGGATCTCAGCCTGATCAATTGATCTCGTTCAAAATGAGACTTTGAGCTCACTGAGTGCTCCTCCTGCAAAGCAGGAGCTGCAGGAGCCTCTGGATCTTTTTATTTTCCCTTTTCCAGTGGGGTTGCACCAGCTGGATGTGCTTACAAATAAATAGCAGGGCAGCGAAGAAGGTGTGGATTTACTCTGCAAGGAGAGGAGGTGTTAGCAGAGTGCTCCAATATTGGAAATTTGAAATCCCTAAAAAACCTGCATCTCTGCTCTGGAATGGATTATTACAAGAAGAAAAAATTGTCAGCCAGGAACAGCCAAATGAGAGTTCCTTGCTTAGATCAGCAGGAATAGCACAAAACACTTTTCTGCTGCAATATTTTACTGGATAAAAGAATGTAATTCTGAGCAAACAGTGCAGGGAAAAGATGAGTTATTGTCCATGGCAATAATTCCTTGGAATGGGAAATCCTGGGTAGTGGGAAAGGATGGGAATAAAACAACTGCACTTTACACCCAGGCAGGGTTTTCCACCCAAAAAATTGGAGAACTTTGCCAGGAGCTGGGATGTGCTGGTTCCTGGAGCAGGTGGGGTGGTGAATTCACCATTGTTTCTGTTCACTCTCAGCTTCCCAGAAGGAAGAAAGAAATTTTCCAAATAAATCACAGGATCATGGAATGGTTTGGGATGGAAGGGACCTTAAAACTCATCCAGTGAGCAGGGACACCTCCCTGTCCCGGGTTGTCCCAAGCCCCAATGTCCAACCTGGCCTTGGACACTTCCAGGGATCCAGGGGCATCCCAGCTGCTCTGATGTGACTCTGGGAGTTCCTTTCCTTGGATTTTTTTCTTGTCAGTGTAGAAGAACTTGGTGTGATATTGGTGTGATATATTATAATAAAAATATAATAAAACCATTGAAAATCACAAATTATTCTAGCAGTCAGGATAAAGTAACTCAAGAGCTAGAACATTAAAATTTCACTTTCAAGCCATGTCAAATATGAAAAGCATTGAAACTGATTCCTTGTCCTTTTTTCTTCCTTCTGCTTTCTGCAGGAAGAGGGGATTTTCACTTCTAGAATTTCTGCTTGGATAACTCAAGATGAATTTTGGAGTGAAGTTTTCAACATGATCTATAAATCCCTGAGGATAAAGGAGCACAGTCAGAGGTGTGGTATCACCTTATCCATTGCACACACTTGTTCTTGCTCTAAAAACAATCACTCTAATTATATCCTGTAACAGTAACAACTTCAAACTTTGTCTCTGAGCTTTAACAGCTGGATCCAGGTACAATCTGCTTTGGGATTCATAAATTCAGGCTCATGCCTGAGCCTTTGCTGGGAGCAGCCACATGATGGCAACATTGCTAATCTTTAACTTTGTTCATGGAAGCAGCTCCTGGAGCTGGGCTTTGGCTCAGAGCAAGGTGTGGAGTTCTGAACTTCTTGGGGGTTTGGAGGAAACTTTTCTTTCATAGTTTGACTTGGAGAAGGACAATTCAC